TCGCGAAACATTGCCACAATTCGGATAGGAACAATCCACGGAATGCTCCGTGTGCACGTGCACGTGTGCTCCGTGAATGCTCCGGAATGCTTTCTTTATTCAATTGATTAACTACTATGGAATTTATTCAACTACATTGTACCATTATTATGTCAGGCTCAGAGCAGGGCTGCCGACACTCACGCATTGAGCTTGAGAGTCACGCAATTAACCCATATCTCACGCACTCACGCCACACTTGCCTTTCCTCACGCTAAGTTTTCGTCCAAAACAAATGTATATAAATATAAAAATAAAGTGAAGGAACAGCAAACCGAGCGGTGTACGAAATGAGACGGTCTTCTGGCTTAGTTCAGTAAAGTTGGAACGATATTGGAAGATTCTGATTTCACGGATCAATAACTCATGAAAACGTTATTGAGACACAAATGACGTCTCCTAAGTACCGTGGTAAGGTTGACAACGAACTACAATCACATTTTGATTTAAAAAAAAGCCAATACGCGCCGTCCTCCGAGCTGGGCACATTACATTGTTCTCTATCCGCAGCCGGAGAAGAAACGAGTGCTCTGCTCAGGGACCGTCTACAAAGTGCAACTCCGAAAAAAAGAGAATACAATAATATTCAATCACTTTTATACAGCTTATTACTACCAAACTCACCACACACATCAATAGTCTCCTGGTGTTCATACTACAGCAAGGAGTTTGGAAGAATATGCTTTTGAATAATTTTGGGGAATATTTATAATGTAAAATCTTCAATAAATATGGCATCATCTTAAACAACTTTACTATTATACAGTATATTTCTAGCAAACTCACTATTTGCATTCTTGTTGTTAGCATCTGGTTAGCTTAACGGATATTAAAAGCTGTTTCTAAAACAATGAGAGGGAGAGCTCTGTCCTGTCAGACTGAGAGATAACTACAGCAGTGAGGTAAGGGACTCTGTTTAGATACTTTAGTCTAGTTATCTCAGTGGGTCTCATACGTTTTGGTCACCATTTATGAGAATAAATGAAAAACAGTTATGAAATACTATATGACAGTGAAACAAGAATACAGTTTAAAAGGTGAGTGATTTGTAAAATATCCATAAAGAAAAAGAAAATCTGTTTATCATAAATTCATTTCTCTCTCAAAGTGCACCAGGTTGATGCATTTAACTTCAATATTTAAAAAAAAAACCTTCCCGGGGGAGCATGCCCCGGACCCCCCTAGAGGAGATGAGGACCCCCCCCCACTTATAAAATAGCACTTGATTGTAAGAGTTGCGGGTACAATGTGTATGTGCGTATTCCACTGTAGCGCCCGGTACATTAATGGGAAACCCTGTACTTGTTCAATACATTTGTAACAATGTACACATGAACGTTTCTTTTTTGGGTTCACCAAAAAATAATCTCACTCCAAGCTGAACTCAAATGTTGGCAGCCCTGTGTTAAGACTCCTAGCCTACATTGTTTATAAAGAGTGCATTCTGTAGATATGCTTTTTGATTTCTTTTATCATGGCTATACTTGGTAAAGTTTTGGTTTTGAAAATTATCTGTCATTGTCCTTCATGTCCTTGCCATGCAATTGTAGACAGAATCCATTTGACACGCTTTAGAATTAACAACCATAAACTTCTTATTGAATATGGTCGATACACAAATACTCCTGTAAATGACAGGTTGTGCAAACATTGTCATGAAATTGAGGATGAAAATAATTTCCTCCTAGAATGTAAACGTCATTATAAAACTTTAATCCAGAACTTCCTAACCAAATAAAATGTCTTTAGTTGATATGTCCATTCATAATAATAATAATAATAATAATTGTAAAGTATATCATGCTAAGAAGAAAGGGCTGTACCCGTCAAATTTACCCACCTTTCATTTATTGGTTCAACCAAAGAGGTGCGTTTCACATCCTTCATGGCAACCAGTGCTGTTCTCAATACAGCTTTTTCTAACACCACAGTGTCGAATTCCCTGTATAAACATATGCAATCCAAGCCGTCTGTGAACAGTTTATTTTCAAGCTCTTCTAGCTCATGACAACATATGTTCATAAGAGGATTGTCCATGGCTACACACCGATCGCAAGTACACCATTCATGTACAGGTCTCCCTACTCGCCCCCCAAAATCAGTTGCACGAGTAAAGGGATCGTCTCCAGCAAGATCACCGTGCTGTTCATCATTGTCACTGTCCCTGGATTCCTGACGGTTCTGGCCACTTGGCCCGAACCTGTATGGCTGAATTCCCCCATCCAATCTCTCCACATTGCTCAAAACTTCTTCCTTGGCTGACGAGTCCGAACTCAAATACTCCGCCATGTTTTCGTCGAATGAGCTGTCGTGTTTACAAAGTGAACGCATAGATGACGTCACGACTTAGTTTTTCGGATCATGTGACTACTGAAAATGGCAGCTGCCGGACGGAATATACTGGTTTTGATAAAAAAGAGCTATAAAATCATTATTTACCGGGGAATATCGCTGATTTCTTCAGGGTATGGTTTAAACATAATGTTTCACTAAATACTGAAGTTTTTATTAACTATCTAATGACTGGAGCCTTCCTTTAAAGAATATGGGGAAATATATTTGTTTTATGTAATTGCAGATCTAAGCAGACTTGATGAGGGGGTTCCGCAAGGCTCTATCTTAGGGACCTCTTCTCTTTAACTTCTACATGATATCAGTATTGAAATATTAAATAAAAGTACCCACTCGTAAATCAAAATATTACCAAAAAAGTTTATTCGAAATCAGGAAAATTATTAGTTATTTAATTATTGTCTTTTGGGGGGTTTTAACATTTAATGATGTTATCTACCCATTTTATGAGATTTGAAGGGATAATTACTAAATGAAATTACATTATAGAGTGTTTCAAACTTTATCAGTAATATTAAACTGTACTGTCCAGCAGATGAAGAAACATGAATACTCAGATGGTCAGACAGGTTGTGTATTTTTTACTTCAAAGAGTGCTTTAAATAATCTTTTAAACCTGTGAAATGTCTTGATTATCCTACATTTCTGTAATGTAGCTTTAGCCCCAGATCTCAACAATTATTTGGATGAGTAAAGTTTTATCATAAGAGATGGATATGATGGTCTTCTAAAAAAAGACCCAAGCTGTTATAAACAAAAAAAGGGATGTTTTTTATGGGACATTTTCACTGTTGTATTTAACTACATATATATATAAATTGCTTTAGTAATGTGTTTCTGTGTGTTAAAACCTTTCTTAAATGTTATGTGATTTCAGGCCCTGACTACATACGGCAGAAGTATAATGAGCCAATAGAGGTGAAGGATGTTCCTGTGGAGAAAAAGGAGAAATCTCCAACAGGGAGCCCTCATTTCTACCGGAAGGGCACAACACCCGACCAGTCTCCATCTTCAAGCCCAGTTCCCAGCCCCACTCCTTCACCTATTGCTGTAAAAAGTACAATTTTTAGCAGTAAAAGTCCCGCCGCAGTCACTCCACCAACTGTGACAGCAGGTAAACAACTTTTTTTTCATTTGACCAGCTTGTCTTTCTCATGATACAATTAACAGTCAGCAAGTTAACATGGTACATTTTTTGATCATTTTACAACACAGATGTTCCCCCTCCTAAGTTCACACACATACAACATATATTTAAGTTGGAAAATAAACTGTTAATACTGCAGAAACAATAGGCGCGTTCACACCGCAGTACTTTTCCCACTTTAGTACAGATCGCGTTCACACCGGAATAAGTCCCTGGGGGAGGATTAGGCAAATGAAGCCGCCGACGTCACTTCTTCTTCTTCTGCTTTGGGTTTACTGGCAGGCCGCAAACAACTTCACGGCGTATACTACCGCCCAAAATCCCCGGTCGGAAGTCCCCGGAGTTAGGGACTGGCTTCCGAGTACATCGCCAGAATGCCGACACCTCCAAATCTCCACCGCTCCCATGTTTTCTTTTGTGTTGCCATAGCTTAGTCTCTCTGCGTTTCTGCGCTGGGCTAATGCTAATGCTAATAATGCAATGCGAGGATAATAAAATGGCGGCTTCACAACACTTTTTGGGAGCTTTACGGGGCGTGGTTTGCAATCCGCCGAGCCAGACATAGGAACCTTTTTCTCCCTGCTCTCTAGCAGGGACGGGAAAGGGGGTAAAAAGGTTCTCATGAACTAATTTGAGTTCCGGCTCTTTTTGGTGTGAACGCGACATTTCGGAACTATATCGGAACTAAAGTGGGAAAAGTACCGCGGTGTGAACGCGCCTATTGCAACCAGCAGTTTTTGCAGTACCCGACTCAGGAAGCAGGCAAATTGAGTATAAAGTACGGGATAGTCCCTTCTTCATCAGTTTATTGTTACTTTGCACTTTTTCGGGATATTATTAACAGCTACAATAGGTCGTAATGGCTCACAATTTACTGGTGATCAGAAATGGACCGATTTTATTTACTAGCAATTTTCGACTTCCATTCATTCTTTAACACACATTCAAACACACAGAGGGCAGTGTTACAATGCAACACATTGGCCTGACCATCAAAAGCAATTGTTGTTAAGTGTGTTTCCAAATTACAAGATGAACAAGGATCAAACCGCTTACACTGCAATCATCTTACAACACAGCTACCAACCAACACAGTGTTTGTCGTTTCTTTGGTTAACTATTATTTTCTCTTTTCCATTATTCTACTTGGCAGGCATAACAAAGGCAGCCTCAAAACTATCTCTCAAACGGGAAGTGAGGCAACAGGAGGCTCCTCCAGTTGTCAAACCAGCTGTAACATCAGCAGGTGGCGGTAAACCTAGCAACGGGCAGATTCACTCCCAGTACCATGGTTACTATGTTAAGGCAGATGTCAAGATCCCGCCCCCCGAAGAACCAACTGGTGTGGAGGATGACCTTCACCCGTCAAGCCTTGCACGCTTGCCACCCCCCGTCAAACCACTTTGGACTTCAGCACCAAAAACCCCACCCACCCCTATCCCTTCACCCGCTCCACCAAAAGAGAGCACAAAAGCACCAGAGCCCCCCAAGCCAAAAAGACAGGAATCAACCAGACCAAAGAGCCTTGCAGAAACCAAGAAAGCTAGTATGGAAATAGTTCCTGAAATTGTAGAGGAGGAGTCGGTGAGTTAGATAACGTTACTACATGTTTGATTCCGATTTGCAGATTGAGTGCATTGTTTCATACCCGCTGGGGGAAACCCATGGATGTACAAAGAGATCTGGATCAGCGTCGGAGTTGGGGACCCGTTCGTTCCTATGAGAGTTGCCCTGTGGTGCATGAAGCCCAACATGGGGCGATTGTAAATTCAAAAAGTAGAGCCATAGGGGCAATATTTAATTTTAATAAACACAATTGTATACCTTATCCAAAACACATTATAATCTTAATTCAATGATTACATTACATTTACATGTCATTTGTTAGATGCTTTTATCCAAAGCAACTTACATACATTCAGTACTGTGGACAATCCCCACAGGGGCAATTTGGGGTGAAGTGTCTTGCCCAGGGACACAACGACATGCTGACTGCAGTGGGACTCAAACTTGCTATCCCCTGATTCTAAGTCCAGCACACTCCCCACTGAGCCACAGCCTCCCTTTATATGATAATAGGATTTCTGTATGCTTCTTATATCTAAAATCATTCTTTCATTGGATTGTAGACAAAAGGTGTAGACTGTGAAAATGTGTTTTTTTTCTAATATCAGTCAGAGTGCTGTAAACCCCTCGTTAGAAAAAAAGCAAAAATAGAAAACATTGGAGAATTACACACATAGGGTACAAAATGAACAATATTCTTAAATTGCTTACTGCCCTGTGCTAACCAGCCAATCAGCAACGTAGTTTGTTAGCCAGTTGGGCAATTAGAGTCACTTTATGAGAGCTAATCTATTGGAAAATGCTGCTTAAGGTTATCAAACATTCACTACATGTGTGTGTTTGTGTTCCATACAGTATGTGTTAAACTAGCATTGCTTCATCCAGAACACATAATGCAACATAACCTCTTCTTGTGTCTTCACAGGGCCCGAACTCTATCTTGGTGGCTTTAGTGATGCTGTTGAATGTAGGCCTTGCAATCATTTTTGTCCATTTCCTCACCTGACCACATCTGAACCCAGGTAAGAGTTTACTAAAAGTTCTAAAGACAATCTGCTTAGGACTAAAACTGAACATGAACTGGAACTGTGGTTGTGGTTAGTTTATAAATGGTTCTGTGTTATGTGAATCATTTTAAACAATTCAAAATCAGGTGAATGTTTAATGCAATGTGGTATGTATACATTGTTCATATTCTCTCTAAATGATAAGTTGTTTATTTTTAATGAAGAACCTAAGCTGTATGTTTGGCAGTAAAAAGAGACATCAACATGTTCAATTCAATTTTTGCTGACTTGCACTCAGTGATTGTTTCTTTGCTGTCTTCTCACATCTTCCTATAACATATGACGGTTCTTAAATTGACCATCATTAGAAATGTAAAAGAGTAGTATATAAACAATTATAAAATATAAACATTTCAAAAATAGTTGACTGTTAAGTTTGTCTAACTATCTGACAAATAAAATGTAAGGCGAAATTAGTTAGCTTTCATACTTGTTCAAAATTGTAACAATAAGTTTAACTTTTATATTACAAGAGAACGGCTAATTTATGGTTTTGGCAAAAATGCAGCCCTATCTCTGCTGGAGTATAAACTTCTAGGAGTTTCCAAAGCTGTGCTAGTTGTGATAGTGGCTTTTTAACAAATCCTGTAACACCAAACACTTAATGATATTTAACTTTAGTTTTTTATGTGATATTGCTAGTTAATAAGCGAGATGACATGCTGGTGTTAACCGTTTAGGTTAGAAGATGTTGAGACACAAATTATTTATTCTAATTCTCCTGTTACACTTTTCCTCTTTTGTTTTAACTGTTGTGTGAAGAGCGGTTCAGTGATAACGTTTTTCTGTCGGCCGACATGGAAGTTAGCATCACAAGGGCAAAAAACAGTGTTCTTTTTCCATTTGTTTGTGGAATATTACAGAGAGCAAGATCTTTGCTAAACAAGGATAGTTTTGACTTATTAACACCACTTTAGGCTTTAAATGAGCTATGAGTGGAATAGCTTTGCATCACCTCTGCTAAGCTAAAGGCTGCTAATGTATGCTAATACATGTCTTGATGACATTCAACAGTTGAGTATTTACTGATGTATGTTATGTGGTAGAACACAACATAAAAATCCCGTAAGCTTTTGTTAACCACCAACCTTATGTTAGGCATTTTATCAAAAACATGTTTAAAAACTCTGGACTTAAGAGACAAGGGAACTGGAAGTGGTAAAATGCTAACTTATGTCAAGGTTTTAGGACTCATTCCTGCACCACTGTATTCCTCTTAATATCTGCATACAAACTTAATGATATTTAACTTGCCTCATTATTTAGACAAATCAGAAGCTTGAAAGACCAGACCTAGTTACCTCATAGTTAAGCTATGACTGGACTATCTTGTTTTAGGAGGGATGTAGCAAGTAATTGACTGACTCTGTTACAGAGAATATTGGAGAAAATAAATAAGAATAATACAAATGTATAGTAATCAATGTTTTAAAGTTATTTTAATGCATCTTTTTTTGCACTTTCCTCCCCACCCCTCATGAATCTGTGCACAGCAGTCATTATGTCAGGTCTGATTTAAATGATTGGACTTGCTTATTAGCGCTTCTTATATATAGATAACAGACTCTAGCTTTAACCTGTTCAACACGGAGGCCCCCGCCTGCAGGGGCTGCGTTTTCTTTTTCTTCACGAAACTGTGTCTCAGGGCTTCTTAACATTTACAAACCTATCAATGTGTCATTCCCATTTAACGGGAAGAAACTCAGCTAACTGACGATAAGAAACCATCTTTACCAAAACAAAACACAAGTCTCACATGAAGCATCTAAATGAGCCCTGAGCGAAAAAATGCTAACACACTTAGCACAGAACTCTAGGTATAAATACCCTTATTACATTTCGGATCTGCACAAACAAGATATCGATGAGCAAGCTGAGATTCCACAGATTCTAGGGGTAAAAGTATCATCACTGAGTGATCGGAACTCGCGACAGCAAACACAGACATCACAACACAGAGCTTTACGGAGCAAAAACGGGACATTATCTTACCTATGCTGTTGTTCTGATCAAAAGTTGTGTTCAATGGCATTAAAACGATAAAAACGCTGCTGAAGGTCAATCCATAGGTTAATCCAATGTGTCTGAAATGATTACTGATAACCCATCTTCATATTTATGTCAATAACAGAGTTTTCATATATAGTTGCTATGAGAGCTACCAGAGTGTATGACAGCTTCCGGTTCCGGGGCATTTTGGCTGCATTCACCAATGGGTAATGTTTAGATGGATTTTAGGAACTTCCCCTCAATTTTATTGGCTCTAACGGTTAAAAAGAGATGTCAATCATCAACATCGACAGAGGGGGGCCATAGATATGGAAAATGCACCCAAATGACCCCAGAAATGTTTCTTTTTTCTAAACCTCTCTAAAAAGGTCAAATGTCACTTGCAATCTTGATACAGGGTACTTATTATATGTTATAGTTTGGATTCCTAAAGCTTTTAGTCTACTATCCCATCATTCAAGGGTAGTTTTCACTATAAGTAATGTTTTTTTTTTGGACGGACACTATAATATACATTTTTTTACTATGTTCAATCTGAATTTACTTTGAAATAAAGAAATTATATATTGATTCTGACTTTTCTACATCCAACTCAAAGGTTTATCATTGCTTTGAGAAAAAAGATTATTAATTTACACCTTTTAGAAGGGGTATTTGTTCTGGGAATGTCATTTTCAAGCCTGAGACCTTAAAAACAGGCTCAGGGCTAAACAGGTTAATATATTATCTGTGTAGTTACAATGTGTCATTCAATAACATTTATCCCTAATCCCAACTCTTCTGAACCCTGCAGTGGACTCGCTAACTCTCCATCAGCCAGAGGGGCCTTCTACAAAAATGGCACCCCTCAGTATGGCAGACACGGGCAAAACGGAGGACTGGAAATAGACGAGTGAAGGTGGAGAAGACGTGTGGGGGTGGGGGTCACACGTGGAGGCGAGAGAGAGGAAAAATTAGTGAGAAAGAAAGATGAAACCTCCACTACCGCCACCCCCCATCCTCTTTGGATGGACTGAATGACTGTCTTTGGTGCTGAAGTCCAACTTGATTGGTCTGGCGATGATTTGTGACTCCTCTTAGAGTGCAGTGAAAGCTGAAGCAAGCAGTTACTGGTTTTGAAAAAAGGGCCCCTGAGCTCCCCAACTATGGATTCTTTATCAGGCTTAGCAGTGTGTGTGTGTGTGTGTGTGTGTGTGTGTGTGTGTGTGTGTGTGTGTGTGTGTGTGTGTGTGCGTGCGTGCGTGCGTGCGTGCGTGCGTGCGTACGTGCGTGCGTGCGTGCGTGCGTGTGTGTGTGTGTGTCTGTAGCTCCATTTCCATCCAACTGTTCAGAAAAATGTGGATAAATACTCAAATTTAAAAAATGGGGGCCGTCCAGATGAGTTCAAGAGAATGTGTTTGAGCATCCAGAAAAACAGAGCGACTTACGGTGTTACTTTGTAATGAATGCCATGTTGGGCGTAGACCATGCTTTCAATCAATTGAACTACCATCAGATACTTCCGGATGGACAATATATATATAATATATATATAGAACAAATTGTTGAAATCAGAAAGCCAATTTGGAGCTGTAGTACACTTTAATTGAGCTCTTCACCGGAGCCTTTATTTCTGATTCAGTCAACGCTGCCAAACTAGCTTCAGTGAGCATGGAAAAGTTGTTGCGATGGATGAGGAACTTTTGTTCTTCTACTCGTACATAAGAATCCACACAAAAGTCTTTGCATGGAAACCAAGCTGGTAGATATCTCAGTGTATTTCACACGTGTTTGCTTCTGCTTTGTGTGTGTGTGGGCATGTGTGTGAATTTTGTGTGCTTGCGTGGGTGTATGTGTTCCGACTGGGTATGTTCAGAGATGCACTTTGAGCTGATGGAAGCCGACAGCTGCCTTACTATTTTACAGAGTGACGTGGTGGTGGGTGAGGAGGCCCAGGCAGGAATGTGAAACGCTCGGCCTGGGAGAGGGGCTCTGTTTCTATCAGTCTGTCAATCGATCTGTTCATATCTGTTTTGATCTGTATCCGTGGGGCCTGCCTGCTGTTTTAAATTCATATTTATTTTTCTTCCTATATATATATAAATAAATATATATATACATTCGAAAATCAGACAATCAGAGGGGTATAACATTTGTAAAATATAACCAACCTGATTTTTTTTAAAGATTCTCTGCAATTTTGCAAACCCGATTACTCCATGGTGCATTGAAGAGTCTCTAATTGGACAGATGAAAGACTCCTTTTGACATGGTCTTCCCTAAATGTTTGTTTATGTTTATTTAATTTATGTTCCCTCATTACATTGCCTCATTTAATCCTTATGATCAAACATGGAGAATGGTAGCTGTATATCACCATATCGGATCAGAGGCCCTATTGTGCTTTGGGGGTTTTCCCTTTCCTGTAGTGTGTTCTATAGGTGTTTGTGCATGTACATGGGCTGCAAAGGATAACATCGCTGTGTTCCCATAGTTTTAGCAGGATGTGGCCCCATTAATGACGCCCTATTTCATACATTAAGATTCCCCTCCTGTTATCACGAGGTCCTTAGATAAAGGGGCACACCAATACTTGGAATGTAAAATTCCCTGTTGGTATTTGTAGTCTGCTGTGGTTTGAATCAGGACCGATGGACGGACAGATACATAACATATTGAATTCTTCCTGACACTACAGAGCACAAAGTGGAATGTGTCCCATACTTCCAACATGTCATCAAGTGCTGCAGCTCATACTCTTTTTTTGTTTCATTTTATTTCCTATATCATACTCCACAGTATATTAAAAGTTATTTTATCATTTTAGAATCATGTTCAAATAATTTTTAGGGAAATCTTTTTTAATTGATGTAAATGATTTCTCTTATGTCATACAGTTTCTACAGAATTAGTGTAGGTGCCTCTGTCACTCACAGTGGTTATTTTGCAGGATTAACATTTTAACTAGTGCAAAGACATAGGATTTTAATAACACAGACTCATAATAACAATATTAATCAGCCCTTTGAAGAATGAACTGCTTTCCTTAGGTTTTTTTCCATTACAGCTTTTATTCAGCCACAGAGCCCTGAGGCTGAAAACAAATTATTTATTTATTCATATTTTGATGGGAAAATATGCAGCTTTTACCAATAAAATAATGTTTGCTAGCAGAGCTGAATAATGATTAACAGTAGGTGTCTAATATTTCATGTATTTGTATCGCTGATTTGATCACCTGTTCTGAGTAACAATTGCCTCATGATTCATTTTCAGATATTGTTAAATATTCAATATATTACAGCAAGCTAAAATGTCTACATGTCTATACGCTTTATTTTATGGGTTTGTAAATTACTAAAATGATGCATAAAGTTATAGTTCTTACTCGGGAACTTTTCATAAAATAATTGATAAATTATGGGCTTGAAATATCTTGTTTGGATGTTTTTATTACTTACATTTTGCATTCAGTTATAACTGTAACAAGATGCTTTATTTTGCATAATTAATTGCATTCACATTTTTGGTTAAATTATTTACATTTTATGTTTTTGTCGGATTAGTGATATCATAACAGTAATTGTTATCTCTGGCCATGCTATAATCCTGTAAATGTAACCGTAGTAGCCGAGAGCGAGGTTAGCTTTCGCTTTTTTTGGCGTCTACATTTCTCAACAGAATGGGCCTTGACATCTTTATGAGTTATGGTTTTCATGTTTTTAATTTATTCTAAGCTACTGGTGTGTGATTGGTGGTTTCAACATAAAGAGTTTGCCCTTTGAAATCATCCACTTCTAACACGCATGACGCCGCACCGAAAACATATTTATATATTTTGATGAAGATAATTTATTTGAACTCTTAAATAAGTTTACTCTTGGAGAAAAATCATCGTCTTAAATCTGTTTCCACCCTAATAACATTGTGTTGCTGAGTTTAGCATGCAGATATCGGCTGGTTTTGTTTGGTTAGATTGGACGTCAGAGTAGAATATATTCTGTGTGTGTTTGATTAGGATTCAGAGTTTGGTATGGATTGCAGAAGGTAAAGACACTGTGGGAAACTTGTTTGCAAAATGAAGCTTTTAAAACGTTTAATTTAAAAAGCTCCATTCCCATTGTTTGAGAACATCGGAAACATGCGTCTTCTTCATTCCAACACTGGGAATTTAGTGCGGTCCACCATCTCCATTTTTGATAATAACACAGATACTCCGAATAATAAATAGTAAATAGCTCAAAGTCTATAATACACTCGTCAAAATAATCTTGAGAGTACAGCTACCACCCTGTACTCAAAGATCAGCCAAGTGAGAACAAACATTGATTTATTTTATATACCATACAAATTAGGAGATAGGAAATGTGTTACTACATGCACATAGCGTCCCCCGTGGCTCTAAAAAAAACAATTGGATCTTTTGAAAATACGTGGATCCTTGAAAATAAGTGGATTTTCTTTTTAAGTAGTTGATTTGAATAGCCGATTAAACAGGCCGTCAAATTGCGGCGGACCCTCTACAAAAGCAATACATTTCCCATGAGGTCTTAAATAGTGTTTTTACTAAATAAGTAAATCTGTAAATTTCCTTTTATATGTATTTAATATTTAGATTTTCGGTTCCCAGTTTTAGGGTCTAAGAGATCCGAGTTGATAGCTTTTTATCAAGGCTGGTTTTCACTTTGGAGTGACTTATCAGCAGGACGAGACACTTTTTAAAAATAATGAATGAATTTAAAAGCCATTGAGTGGGAAATAGCCTATAGATTTTACAAATCACATATGTTCAATTAAATGTATTTTAAAGGATATTTTAAAGGTCTTCTTTTTCTTTGGAAAAGGGTTACAGTAGATGGAAGAAACAGAGTTCTGAGATAATGTGAAGACATAGTGAGCAGATATGGTGTAGAGTTGTGACTTCTGGTGAAGCTTCTTGAAGATCGCCTGAACTTACTGGTGGAAATAATCAACGTGATGGTGTAGAGTGGTGCAGTGATGACGTGTATTTATTGAGGCCAACCTGGAAGTTAGCATCACAAGAACTCACTCAACAAAAAAGAAGGGAAATTGGATTTTGGAAAATGCAGAAACTAGGGTCTTCTGCAAAAACACATTTATGATACACATTTTGTTCAGCAGGATAATTTTCACATATATCCTCAACTTTATGATTTTTGAAGCTTAAACGCAATCGCCAGAAGTGAAAGCTAGGATATAAAGGAACTACATCACCGCCACATGGCTGCGAGTCACCACTGCTAAGCTAAAAGCAGCTAATGTTTGGCGTTATGATTCTATGTAGTCTATTTTAGTAACTTGTTACAGCTCTTTTAAGCTTTTTGAAGCATAAATGAAATTGCCAGAAGTAAAGTGCTAACGTCAGGCTATAAACCTGCTACATTGCGGCCGCGTCACCACCGCTAAGCTAAAGGCGGTTTGGTGTGATGAAGTTTAGTATTTAGCAACTGCTAACAAGTGTTGTCTTAATCACACATAGAAACTTGGGACATTCAACACTGGGGTATTTACTGACTTATTTTATGTTGAGAAAAAAAAAGCGTTAACTATGAGAGGAGGGAACTGGAAGTGGTAAAATGCTAACTCATGCTCATTCCTGCACCACTCTATTAAATCACAGTTAGCATAGAAGTCTGATCTCAAATCTGCATTAGACCCACTCTCCAGCAAGAAGCTTAAACATATCATGATAATCTTCCAAATAATTGTTTTGTTATCTTTTGCTTTCTTTGCTGGAGTTTGGGAGTTGTTCAGTTTAAAGCCACTAACATCTTCACTCAGGTCTGATCTTAAGGAGGTTTGTATTGTTAGAGAAGGACACAGAAAGAATGGGCAGATGAAATGTTTCTGAGGGGAACAGGGAAGAGAATGTGACAGTCTCGTTGTATCGAGAATGTTTTTGTAGGCTAAACTATAATTGGCCCAAATTTGAAATTGAACCCGGGTTATTCGTTGCATGATATCAGTCACTGTGGAGCTGTTTTTAAGCTACTCTGTGAAATAGGTGTTGACAAATCAAGGAGGAGCCTTTAAAGTGCGTATGTGTGTGTATGGAATGAACTCGAACATCTATTTGTACATTATGACCCCGACAGGACAATCTCTTACATTTCATTTTTGTCTCTGTATAGATTTTTACATCACTGTATATTGTGTTTGGTTTCTAAGGCGTTCTGAGAGCCTTTTTTCTAACACTGTATGCCTGTATTTTGATTAGTTTGGCTTTGAACGCACCTATCATCTCGGCTGCTGCTGGTGATACGGTGCACACATTATTATTATTATTATTATCAGTTATTTTACTTGACAACATTTGTTTTTGTTTTTTGGCAGTTGTTTCTATGGAGATACATTAAAAAAGAGGGTTTACATTTTACTTCATGAGTTTGTGTGTTCTTTGAAACTCACTTCACGAGCGGCAAGGAATTCATGATGACTTTCATCACGGCGGTGAAATGTAAAACATATTTGTGATCCCTATGATAACAGTGTGACAGTGTCATGCAATGACATAATGCCAGGGGCATTCCCTGTTGCTTAAGCCTGCAGCGCTCTATTCCATTAGGGATGCTCGAACTAAAAAAATAACTCAAGTGTGAAAGTTGGCTCGGCTCTCCGTGACAGGAATAGTTGTGGTGGCTGACAGCTGCTGGCCTGTCTGGAGACTGCAGCAACACTCAGAGGCTTCAGAGACAGGGAGCTACAATGATACCATGTTGTGAAGGTAAAACACGCACTGTCTGTCTAATTCTTCTGTTTTCACAGGAAATGTCAAATTGCCCACACACCCAATTGGGAAGCTACAGAGGTTAAATGGTGCAAGTGACATTACTTAATACTTTATATGTGAACCATTCAATGTCCTTGTTTCATGCATGAATTGGTCATTCATGTGATCTGATTTTCATCTAAATCACAATGTTAGACAAACACAATGTGCTCAAGCTTATAATACACAAACATGTATAATCTCTTATTGCTTTATATCACACCCATTAAACATTTACACACTTCAGAAGATGCGTCTTGTGAATAGAAACGTGTAAATGTTGGTGTTATTTCTATATGTCAAAGTAGCCTGAACAACAACTTTCATCTTGTTGCACTGATTAAACAAAGTTTGCTAACTCCTACTGTAACTCAGTCAGCTTTTGTTCAAATCTAGGGGTTCACAAACATTTCCCTAAGTACCCCGTGAATTTGATTTATTCAAAATGGACAAGAACAATAAAATAGTGTGTGTGCTTTTTTACAATTGTAAATTGGATGAATATCAGATTACATTTAATGACCAATTCATGCATAAAATCAGGAAATTCCAAAGGGTTCACATACTTTTTGACACTATTTATATTTATAAAGATGCAACAAAAGACTTGGATATTTTTGGTTCTCGACAGTATGGACTGCAGATTTGAAAGATATACAGTAAACAAACTATTGATTTATAGAGAATATGGAGTGACATCTCTCTAACATCACATAATTATAATAACCAAATGATAAAGGAAATAGTACATTTTTGGGAATTTTCTGGAGTTAAAACCGTTGTGGAGTCAAGTGATTGACATCATTTGGGTTCAGATCAGAATTCCTTTATTAGTCCCGCAGCGGGGACATTTACAGTGTAACAGCAAAAGTGGCATAGCAGATAAAAAAGGCATGCAATAATAAAGAATAAGCTAACATATTTAATATAGAGAAGAAGAGCACACATTGGTATCAGAATAAAAATGAAGGCAAATAAGTAGACAAACATGGATAAACATGAGAAGCAGCAATCTTAACATGACATACATAACATATTAGGTGTTGAGACATTATAATAATGATAATAATAATACATGGCATTTTTATAGCACTTTTCCTAATGCTGAAAGATGCTTTACATAAAATCAGAACAAAAACAATATCAGAACAGAAATAATATATATAAAATAATTATAAAAGTGTGAGGACATATACAAATGTATGTTTTACATAAGTGATTATTGCACAGTACAATTGCAAAAAAGTGTTTATTTTGCACACGGCAGGTCTTGCACAAGATTTCAGCAGATTGCAACAGCATGTATAGTGTGGGGGTCTACCAGGGCCTGGTGGTTGTACAGATACCATGCCTCCCAACTCAGACAGCATGCTGTCTGAGTTGGGAGGCATGGTATCTGTACAACCTGCAGACAACAGCATCTACACCTGGGACTAATAATATAATAATAATAATAATAATAATAATAAAACTAATTATATGGCTGACATTAAAGGTAGAAATACTACTATTTGTTGTGCCACCTTTATGGGCAAGTGAATTCAATGAACAAAGACAAAAAACTGGTTAAATATCAAATTTAACAGGAGGTTTTAAAATATTTAAGAGTAATTATTCCCATTTCATTTATAGTTGCTCATGAAGACAAATCCTCTCCATTCAGTCCATATTTTTTTTAATATTTTGAATAACGTGATTTAAGGCCATGAAGCTGCTCTGGGTGTATCTGTGGGATCATTTGATAACCCTAAGTATAACCACAATACAATGCAACTTTGTCAATCTATGAAAACAATTAGTTTTTGGGCAGATAAAACAGATATGTGTAAAACATATTTGAACATAAAACAAATAATTGAATTCATAATAAAATAAAGACACAAATAAATGAATAAGGAAATAGTCTACATGGCATACAGAGCACATTATTATTCTTCAGTTCTTGTTTACCAGGTGTATGTCTGCGCTTTGTATCTGTGATGTTTCTACCCTTCTCTTACTGGAAGAAGTAATCAGACTACTTTGAAAATCACATTCCTGCTGCTTCTTCTTGCAGGATCTTGAGTTACTGCCACTGTGCCAATGTGTGCCGCCATCTTGTTGACCAGATTGTGGAGGTTCTCCATTACACTGTTTTGAAATAATGTTTGAGTTAATTTTTTGCAAGCGCTTACAACTATATGTTGCTTGGTTAGCCGGCAACCAATCATTATTTTCAACAGAGATTAATCTGTCGATTATTTGTGACCTGCTAAAACAAAATGAGTCACATCGACCACAAAACACATTTCGAGTTGCATACACGTTTAAAAGAGGAGATTATTAGCTTTCAAATGATGTCCTTACTGTTTTTCTTCTCCAAATATTCAGAAAAATGTTTTACATAACATAATAGGCGCTTTCGCACCAAGTACTTTGCTGTACTTAGTTCATCAGAACTTAGTTCATCAGAACTCTTTAGTTCTGATGAACTAAAGAGCAGATCGCGTTCACACCGGAATAAGTCCCTGAGGGAGGATTAGGCAAATGAAGCCGCTAACGTCACTTATTTTTCTTCTTCTTCTGTTTTGGGTTTACTGGCAGGCCGCAAACAACTTCACAGAGTATACTACTACCCGAAGTCCCCGGCCGGAAGTCCCCGGAGTTGGGGACTGGAGCCTTCTGAGTAAATCGCAAGAACGCCGACACCTCCTCATCTCCACCGCTCCCATGTTTTCTTTTGTGTTGCCATAAATTAGTCTCTCTGCATTTGTGCGCTGGGCTAATGCTAATAATGCTAATGCGAGGAAAATAAAATGGTGGCTTCAACATAACTTTGTTGGGAGTTTTAGGGGCGTGGTTCGCAATCCGCCCAGCCAATCAGACATAGGAACCTTTTTCTCACACGAAAGCACATGCTCCCTAGCATGGACTGAAAAGGGGGTGAAAAGGTTCTCATGAACTAAGTTCTAGTTCCGGATTTTTTTGGTGTGAACGCACATTTTCGGAACTGTATCGGAACTATACTGGGAAAAGTACTCCGGTGTGAAAGCGCCTGATGACTGTAACCAAGACAAGCTTTTGAAAAAAAGCCCTTCATTTGCTGACATTATTTTAGCCTAGGGAGTTCAGGACCAAGGTCCCCTATTATGCAAAATCCACTTTGTCATGTCTTTTCTACATACACATGTGTTAAAAGACTCAGGAAAGGAGTTTCAGGAAAAAAGATTCTCTTTTTTTTCCTGATCCATTTATATAAGAACCTGTCTGAAAATCATGTGATCAGATTTTGGTCACTTCGTGATGTCATAATGTTTTTTGGGATGTGTAACCATTAGCCAATAACCAACCAAGGTAAACTCCCCCCCACCTTATCAACTGAATCTTAGAGCACCATTGTGTTTTTTAAACCAATCATCTATCAGAGGGGCGTGGCCAGCAGAAGCTCATTAGCATTTCAAGCTACAGACAACGATAATCAATTTAGGTGAAGTAAGTGTCAAGACAGTAATGTCACGAGTAATGAGTAATGTCAAATCAACAACCGACAACATTAAAAAAAAAACATTTATTAGCTATAATGTACATTAAAAAAATGTATCAATTAAAATATATAATTAGTCTATTTTTCTGACTTGCATATCCCAAAGTGTAATGACAAAAAGTATAAAAAGTAATTCAATGGTTGTACTTTTTAGTACTTCCATGGATTCCTAGTGACAACGAGAAACAGATTAGAAGTTCACTTTTGTCCCTTTTTCATTAAGAGGAAAAGTAAATCCTGTTTGGTCCATCAGTCGCTGTCGGACTTTACCAAGCTGCCAAAGTAAGCCGTCAAAGTCTTCAGCTTGTTGTTCAGGATGTTCTGCTCCACCTCCACCTTTCCTCCGGCACCAGCCAGAGAGGCGATCTGTGCACACAGACATATCATCAGACAGCAGAGATGGCAGAAGTACACATAACCTACACTCAAGTAGAAGTACACATACTCATGTTTAAAAATACTCAGGTAAGAAGTACTGACTAAACTTCTATACTCAAGTAAAAATAAAGAAGTATGCGCTCTGAAATGTACCCAAATAAAAATGATTCATAACTACCAACTGTATAGAGTCAAGCTGGTAACTGCACCTCACTTTATATTAATAGAACATTAAATAACTTACATAAACACATCAAGTTTTCTGGAAGACATTAGGTTGAAATAGGCGCAGAATGAATCTAAATAATAATGATCAAGCCACCAAATTAAGATTAAAACTAAAGAAACGAGCCCGTTTTGAAAATTGAAGAAGTAGAAAGAACAGGTATTTGTGGAGGAGAAAGTAAAAGTAAAAAGTTGTCGGGAAAAAAAGTGTGGAGTAAAGTCCTGACACAAGAAAAATGTACTTAAGTACAGTAACACAGTATATGACTTCACTGCTTCCCAACTGTCAGACAGTGAGCTAATAATGAGAAACCTGAGGGAAAGGTAACACACAGATCGTTATGTTGTTCCATCCACCTGCAATGTCACTAATCATCTTGTATATCAAACAAGCTTCCTAAATGTTTTGTTTGTTCAGATTATTAATATTGTATTTCCACCAAATATGATCTGAAACTGGCTCTGTAGTAGAAGCTGAAACTTGCTCTGTAGTAGAAGCTGAAACTGGCTCTGTAGTAGAAGCTCAAACTGGCTCTGTAGTAGAAGCTCAAACTGGCTCCGTAATAGAAGCTCAAACTGGCTCTGTAGTAGAAGCTGTTGAAGAAACAACTGTACATTTTCAAGGGAGGAAAATGTACAGTTCATGTACCTTGAAGCCATAAACTTAACTT